ACTAAAAAGAAACACACCCCCTTGGGCTGCCTCCAGTGCTGCCTTTTGGAGGGTCCTGATCCTGATGGGCAGGTGGAAAAGAGGATGCAGTCATTCCAAACCAGGCTCCCGGGAGTCCTTTCACCTCATCCCAGCCACAGGCACTTGCTGCTGCTTGCGGATCTTGTTGAACAGCTCCATGTACTGCACCATGGTGTCTGAGGGGCTGTAGATGCTGTCGTGCTTGGTGCCGAACACAGAGGGGAGGCCGGGAGCGTGGCTCCCCATGAAGCTCTGCATGAACTCCATGAGCAGGCTCCAGCAGTCGTTGGCTATCACACAAGGGCAGTATTCCACCTGGCAATGGAAACCACAGCCTGAACCTCAGCCGGGGGTGAGAACGTGCTCTCCTCTCCCCGCCTCAGCAGAGAGAGAATGCTGTTCACGAAATCACCCGAGAACATCCAGCACTTGACAAGGATGGACAAAGATACATGAACAGGATATGCTGGGAACATAGAATCATGGAATGGTTCGGGTTGGAGGGGACCTTAAAGCCCATCTATTTCCAAGCCCTTTCACAGACAGGGACACCTTCCACTAGAGCAGGTTGCTCCAAGCCCCTGTGTCCAACCTGGCCTTGAACACTGCCAGGGATGGGGCAGCCACAGCTCCTCTGGGCACCCTGAGAAACAAATGCAGCCCTTGGGATTTAAGGACTGAAGTGGTTTACTGAGTCTGGCCCCAAATCAGCTGTAGCTGCTAATGCAAATCCTGGAAAAACTCCTAAGACAGAAGCAGCCAGACTGTCTGCACATCCCGTCCTGAACTTGAGTTTAGGGTAAACCAGGTTCTGTTTAACCCTGGGTCAACAGCAGCACTAATGCTGTGACACGTGTGTTCAGTGCAACAGAGGAAGGAGCCATCCCCCAGCGCTCTCCCTGCTGGCCAGGAGCACGTGCAGGAGCAGTGGGATCATCAACTGTGGATCAGGTAATGGGATTTGTGTGTTTAGAAAATCATAACCTCTAGTTTTGAAAGACTTTTCAGCACCTAATTCCCAGCTATCTTAAGGACTATTGGGCTCCAGTCCAGCGGGATGCCTGGAGCCTGCCCTCCCCATGCTAGCACAGCCCAGCTCCTTGTCTTTTTACGCTTACCCATGGCTCATGAGCCTTGGTCTCAGCAGCCACCTCCCCAAATGCCTTCCCAGATCCTCCTGTGTGTGAGCAGAACCTGGAGCTACATCTGCTTGAGCTGTGACACCAACACCCAAACCAGCATCGAAACAGCAACTGAAGAGGTCGTTTCATCCCCTCATTATGCCGATCAACCTAAAGTGTGTTCCTAGTGGGAACTTCAAGCAGCTTTTTAGCCTGGTGACATCCCCTCAGGGTTTGTTATTGACACCTCAACGGTGCAGAAGGGACAGGGCATTTCTCATCTCACCAACAGGGTATTTCCCTGCCTGTAGCTGTATTTCAGGCCCTCCACATTCAGCTTCTTACCTCCACGGATATCCCACGGGCGCTGGGGCCCATGGTGACCGTGCCCACCTTCACCAGGAAGTCGCAGTACTGGTAGCGGGTGCCCCTGGTCTCTATCTTGTTGGCTTTGGCGTTCTGGAAGAAACCTTTGAGCTTCACCATGAGGATGTCGAAGTTGGCGTCTGCGATGAGGCAGGGGCCGCTCTCAAAGAGCGCGAAGCAGCTGAGCGGGTACTCGGAGTTGTGCATCACGTACATCAGCTTCCCCGTCTGCCCTGGAAGAAAACCAGCGGGATACGGGCTGGGAAACCAACAGTCCTGCGCTTGTAAGTGCTTTAAAGCAGCATCTGGTTTAACCTTGTCCTCCGTGTCGCTTTAATCCCAGGGTGTCACCCACATGCACTGCGTTATCAGTGAACAGACTCTGGTTTTGGGCTTAAGATTTAAAGTTAAAGGGGGGGGGGGACAAACCAAATCTGCAGCTCGAGGATGACACACCAGCACTACGGGGAGATCGGAGGATGAGCTGGACCCGAGATGCCGGGTCAGCCAAGAGAAGAGGAGAAGCCCCGGTGCCCAGCACTGACCCTGGGTGCCGATGGTGGACGCTGCCGTGTGGTAGGTCTCGCAGTCCACGCAGAAGGTGCCCTGCTTCTCGGCCCCCAGCAGCTCCAGCTTCCGCGTCAGGAGCTCCACCGTCTGCTGCACG